GGTGTTTTGCGATCTGGATAGCCCCTTCGTTATCTTCATACAGTGGAATGCACGGCCGCAACTCCGTAGGCAACATGAAACACCACACCTGCCTCAAAAACAATATCTCCTTCCCCATGTCCGCCATCGCCACGTATTCTGCCTGCCTGCGTGGTAGACAAAGTCACACACTTCTGAGTCTTGGAGAACCATGCAATCGCCCCTCCTGCACACATCACTACCCCTCCCGAAACCGACCTACGGTCTGCCGCACGGGAAGCGTAGTCCGCGTCGACAAACGCAATCAAAGAAAATTCCGAAACCGTCCCCCTCTGAAAAAAAATCCCCAAAGAACTAATCCTAACTGCATACCCTAAAATGTTAAGTGCAGCCTTCCAGTGGATCAACTTCGGTGCACTACAGTACCGCGCCACTGCTCTCACCGAATTCGCGATATCCGGCCTAGTCAACAAGGCAATCCATAACAGCGAACGGACCAGCGCGCGAAAAGGGTACTCTACGCTCGGCTCGTCCAAGTCGAAGTCCCAAAGTTTCCAGGTGGTGGGCAAAGGGATGCCCCCCCGCCACTCGACACCATATCTCTCTCCCAGCTCTTCGGTGTATGTCTGCTGTGAAATCGTCAGCCTGCCTGCCTCTCTGTCCCTCTCGTACTAGCAACCAGAGTACCACTTCAACTCCCCTAGAGACTTTACTGGCACGTACTCTCCCAGGTCCTTGCCGAATTGATCACACCTCTCCTTCGTCCCCACTGCAACAATATCGTCTACGTGTACTACGAGAAGCAACACTACTTCCCCCCCTTCGACTGAACGAAAAACACACGAATCAGCCATGCACTGCTCGAACCCCAAAGCCAAAAGGCACTTCTTCAGTAGCGCGTACCACTCTCTTGATGCCTGCCTCAAGCCATAAAGGCTCTTGTTCAACTGCACTATCTTCCCCGACAATGCACCACATCCTTCCGGTAGTCGCATGAAAGTATCTTCCTTGAAAGGGGCCCTCACAAAAGCCTGGTCGATATCGAAGTGACACAACTCCAAGTCAAGCTCACACGCCAAAGCTGCCAACATACGAACACTAGATGAAGCTACATTAGGTGCATACAAATCACCAAAGTCAATGTACTCCTTCTGCATGTCTCCTCTCGCAACAAGTCTAGCCTTGGCCTTTGTAGGGAAGCCGAACGCATCTACCTTCCAATCAAAAATCAACTTCGACTTGATGCAATTGTCTATTCGCTGCTACGGTCCAACAATCTTAAACCCGCCTTCTTCTAACAATACAAACACCTCACGCTTGGCCGCGTCCATGAATTGCTCGCTGTGCTCGCTCTGCTTTGCCTCTTTGGAAGTCTGGGGTACTCGGAGGTCCTTGGCGTGGCAGCGCGGCGTGTCGGGTCGCAAAAGAGGCGGCTCCATCTCGCGCACAGCTGAGTCAAGGTCGTCGCGCGTCGCAAGACGCGCCACAAGTCCGAGCGGAACGCCCCGTTCAGACGGACCGATCGACCAACCATTCCCCATGCGTCCCTCCTCGCCGGTGTCCACCTCCGGCAGCTTTCCCGTGCTCTCTACCACGCCCTCACTCCTCGCGAGCTGCTCGCCTCCGCCCCCCTTCTCGCCGCCCCCCTCCAATCCTGGCCGGAGCAATGTCTTGCCGTTCATGACTCGCCGNGAGAGGAGGACGTCTTCGTTTGCTTGAGCCAGCAGCCCCATGGTGATCTCGGCCGGAGGTAGAGGCGTGGTGAAGGCATCGTCCTGCAGTGATGGCAACTACCGGTCCACCGATAGGGCAGAAAGCTGTTGCTTGGCGATGGTGCGCGCTTCCGCTCTCGTGCGTCCTCGGATCCGCGGGTCTCCCCCCTCGCCGAGCAGTCTCGAAGCATGGGGCGTGAGAGGTGCGTACCACGGTGCGGTCGCCGACGTTGTGGTCCGCCGGTCTTGGTGCGGTTGCGGTGGGGACTGCTCAGCCTCAATGGATGAGGACGACCAGTCCGGGAGCGGCGGCGACGGCGACAGCGGGGCAGACCCCGGAGGCGGCGGCGACGGCGNAGCACCAGGCGAAGGCGTGGGCCACAACGCGGGCCCCGGAGGCGGCGGCGGCAGCGACGGTCCGCGGCGGTAGCAGCAGCGGGCGGCGGTGGAGCGGCGGATGTCGATGGCGCGGGCGGCCTCGGGAGCGGCGGAGCGGCAGCACCAGGCGAAGGCGCGGGCCAGAACGCGGGCCCCGGAGGCGGCGGCGACGGCGACGGTCCGGCGGCGGTAGCAGCAGGCGGCGGCGAAGCGACGATCTCGAAGGGTAGATGCTGGGGCGTGGATAGAGTCCCCGCGGAGGGGGTTGGTGAAGCATTGCACACACACACACACCCCCGATGGCGGGAGCGCCGCCCACGCTACATTCGAGGTGTAGCACACGTGGCCGGTCCTCTCCTTGAGCACCTTAACGGTGACGTCGGCGTGGTTGTCTCCGGCGTTGAGGAAAAAACATGGCACGGCCCTGTCGTCCATTTTCGTTGCCGGCCGCTCCCACATGAAACCTTACTGGAAGAACGGGACCAGGCGAAAAGGGCCTCCCTTGCCGGTGTAAAGTTCCTGCGGCGACGCACCCCCGGGGTTGGAAGGAGATGCTGACTGGTTCAGTTTCTGCGCGGCGTCTTTTGCGGACTCCGCCCAGAGCTCATCGCCACGAACACTCAGCCCGCTGACACGAGAAAATCCTGCGGGGCCAAGCAGCTCCTGGGCGGCCCGGCGGGATGCCTTGGCCACCTTGAGGCACCTCTGGATGGCACTCTCGACGACGCCGTTGTACTGCTGCACGCCGGGAAGGGAGTACTCGAGCGTGATCCCCATGCTGGCACAGAGCTCCTTGAAGTCGCTGCTGGTCCAGAGAGTATCACAGTCGCAGCGGATGCACTTGATCGCGGTACCAGCCTTGTGGGCGGCATCCACGACCATGCGCTTGACGACCGCTAGCGCCTCCGACTTACGCCGCATGGCGTAGCAGACCATCCATCCCGTGGCGGCGTCCACACCGAAGAGCATGTAGTGGTTGCCACCGATCGTCGCCGTGTACGCGCCGCAGAGGTCGATGTGGAACACGTCGTTCGGCGCCCTCTTGCCGTGGTACCCGCCCCCCTGCTTCGGCACCGGCCCCCTCGTCCCTCGCGCCGGCAAGCACCATCGACAGCTGTCCATCGTGCCCGTGAGGGTAATCCCGTGCTTCTTCGCGGACAGTCTCCAAATGGGTTTGGACAAGTGGCCGGCACGGTTGTGGAACGTGTTAATATCCATAACCTTTTGTGCATTGCCGACATTGAAAGGTGTCTTCCCCGGACCCAACACAGCCATGGCGCGTTCACACTCTTCACTCTCCCACACATCAATCATCTTCGCCGAGTATTCCGCTACAGCATCCGTCACACGGGGGGGTTCTAGATCGGAATCCATCGCGGCTGTAAGAGCCGATGCCACAAAGGAAAAAGAACTCTCACGGGCACTCTCATTCGCAATGTCCATAGAAGGCAGGGATTTGTGGGGGAGGAGGATTGCAAAATGGGAGTCGCTCGAAACGCCACGAATAAAACGCAGTTTTCCGTGCGTCATTTGCGTACCGTTGGGGTTGATACGGACCTCATGCTTGTGAGACACCTTCCA